AGTGTGAGGTCATCTGCTTATATTGCACTAATGGGTTGAGAGTAAGAGTATTTATGCACTTAAATTGTAGCTCAGAGGACTTATCACGAAAATCCATGAGAAAGTTTTCGTCATCGACAAATTCTGTTTTAGTTTTATTCAGCGCCCTTACCGTATGTATTGCTTGCCAAAAAATTTTTTTTTCCCGCTGTCCATAGACATGCATCTTCTATCCTTAATCGATGGAAGAGGAGACACACTTCTGTGTCCTTTTTATTCGTCCCCATCTACGTTAAATTCACTTTCCCTAAAATAGTGGACACTGACGAAACACGGAATTGCTTCCACTTTACCTGTCTTTTGTCATAGCGTTGCACCAGGCAAGCCTTTTTCGCAACAATTGTTGTTAGCGTCTAACACTTTGATTATCTTCGATTTATTTGATGTTTTAAAATTTGGATTGAATCCCAATACTTGCAACATCGATGCGAATAGCAACATACGCAAGACGCTTTACGGCTTTACCGTTGGCCTGTAACTGCTCCAAATATAACGTTTATTTATAACCTATACCAAATTGACGTCAATACACCGTTTATTATACATTCCTCGTACGCATTCCACAGTTATACGTATGAAAAGATATAGATTTAATTTAATTTCGATTCGAATCAACATTAAATCATTGTGAAAGAGGATATGCTTTAGAAGGGAGTGGATTCAGATATGAAGTCTGATAGAAATGTATGGAAGAGCAGCACTGTGCCGACCCTCCGTAGGGATAAAGGCATAATGATGATTTAACCATTGCCATGTATTTTATAAAACTACCCCGCCCACTATCCCTTCCGTTTCCTAATATTTTCCTAACATTATTGTTGTTTTAAACATTTTTAACAGTGGTAGAGCCCGCTTTAATACCTCGCACGAATAGGTCGGCTCGCCCGGTGTAATACCACGAAGACAGGCGTGAAGTGTAAGCAATTCCGCGTTTCGTCTGATGAGTGTGGTGCCGGAGGCCTAATTTTAGTTCCTTTCCCTTTACACACTTTACTTAAGAGGAAAGAATGGGAAGGAAAAGTGGATTTGACGGTGGAGGAGACGCATAGGAAGGCGAAATGTCCTCTTTATGTGCGTCTCCTCCGCCGTCAATTAAGGGTAGGCAACACATCTGCAATTGCGGATGTTTATGGGCAGCGGTCGGTTCCATTTTGGTGGATTTAGGTGGCCGCTTGCTCGTTTGCCGTCATATATTATAAAAAAAAATAAAGATAGATAGTATTGAAAGATATATTAAATATCTTTTTAAGAATACAGAATATATCAAAATATTTAAAAAGCTAACACTTGTTAATATTAAAGTAACTTCAAAACGTATTGTTCATAAAATATTCTATTTCCTGTTTATTGAATAGTTTATGGATAACAGTTTAGTTTTAATTAAGTTTATTATTATTGACTATAGTTTGCTAGCGGCATTTTAATTAACGTGGTCAATTTGTTGAGCATAACACAGCGGATATTGGATATATAAATGTAGCAATCACTAGGTTGCTTTTAACTACATGTTGCTCGCGACGTCGACTACATGTGATTTAACAATATAGCCTATGTTACCCACAGATAAATTACCTTTCTAACGGTGAAAGAATTTTTAAAATCGGCCAAGTTTTTTCGTTAATCAAATCCAAAAATAAAAATCTTTTCTCTTTATAATATTAGTATAGAAGATTTTTAACGTACTTTATAAGACAATCCGACTAGACTAAAAAAAAACATTTGTATATAAAAATTGAATTTTTAGTAAGGGTATCAACCAAATCCAATGCAGGGATGCTACTTAACTGCTCCACTAGGCTGTGGGATGCCTGTAATTCTCCAGATGCCCTTATAAGAAAAAGTCGGTACCTCAGACACTAAAATAAACTTTCACGATGTTATGCCAAACTTGTGAAAGGGAGAAAGTGCGTTGATGAATTTTTATTCGTTTCTTTAACGCTTTATTGTATTTTAAATTTGTTTCGAAAACAATATACGTAATATTGAGCGGGATATCTTTGACTAAACTATCACAAAACTGTTGTGCGATTTTCGATTGTTTCGCAATTCAACTGTTTTGCACAACTAAAAATCGAGTAGTACCCACCTCCATATAAGCTCATAGGAATCAAAGAGAAACTGAACAGTTGTGCGATGTTTTAGTCGTAAGGTGTGCGCACTCTCTGAAATAACACTTTGCGAGTTAAGCGGTATTTCTATAAAAAAACCGTGCAATTGTTGTGATAACCCACACTTTAATCAGTCCGACCTGAAAACTACAATAATATACTGTTGTAATTAAATTTATTGGTATTTATTCATTTGTGCCAATTTCTACTTAACATTATTCCACTTTAAACTGGTTTTATAAATTATTTAATGTTTCAACAAAAACCTATTATTCCAAATGGAAAACAGAAATGTTTTTTTTTTTATTTCTACTGTTGGGAAGGAAATTAGAACCCCGCTGTAGAATTGGGGCAACACTGGATTATTGGCATAAACGTCACATCTCTAACTGACAGCTGTCAATGTCATTAGACGTATTAGAATGGCGCGCGAATTCTGAAGCTGAGTTTTTAAGTTATCTCGATAGTATTCATTGTTTAAAGTTACATAGAAATAATATGCATTATATGTCTAATATCGCTTATTCTACCATAGAAGCCTGTGCGAGATGTTTGAACCTGATTACTGAAAATGTATTTCTCTC